TTTTTTTATTCAGGCCCGTGGATACGACGCGCTTTGGTCAACGCCCAGTTTCGACGACCCAACGTAATCCCACCGACGCCACCTAGTCGTCCAAACCAATCGGCAATCGGGAACCGAAGATAATCGAGATAACCGGTTTAATTTGGACTGATAACTCGCGGTCTGGTAAAAACAATGTTGGGTGCAAACTGTTGCCAGATAGTTGGCGATTGCCAAGCCTCGGAAGGGAGGTATGCCAGAGAATTCCTCGCCATGCCTCCATCCTCCTCTCCATTGAAACGGCGAGATCGGTTAATCGGATCTTGATTTATTATCACTTATCTTATCATTCGTATTATTCATTCGTATCCGTGATGCAATAATCGAGTCATTATTATAAAAATTAGTAAAATTAAATAAAATCCTAATAAATCTTTAATTGAAAAATATGGATGAAATGAGATTTTATAATTATTATAATTTCCTATCCTAATGGATTTGAAGATCCAGTTAGATGAAGAGCGAATAAATGAAGAATAATTATAAATAAAATAATTAATGGTAGAATAAAATGTAGAGAAAAAAATCGATTTAGTGTTGCATTATTAATTGAAAATCCACCTAAGATTCATAATACAATTGTATTTCCAATGTAAGGAATTGCGGAAAGAAGATTTGTAATTACAGTTGCACCTCAATATGATATTTGACCTCAAGGTAAAACAAAATGATAAAAGGATTCCCTTTCTTCCCAGAATTATTAAAATCCTCTCCCTTCGAATTTCACTTTTCACTTTCGAGGCGCGGGAAATGGAAAAATCGGGCCGATCTATTTTCTCGACGGTTTGATCCCGTTTCTTCGGCTTCGGGGAACAAATCGAACGCGCGATTCGTGGAAAGGCGGAAACTCGTTTCGCCCTTTTTTTCCCCCCTATCCTCGCCGGAATTACGAGATTGCAGCCGGTGCAACACCGACCAGCCGGCGACATCCTGCCTCGAATCGAATTCGCGCCCCGCCGCCTGCCTTCGCTCCCTATGCAGCTCGTAAACAAATCGGCTCGTACAACCCGTTGCCTCGCAACGATTACGTTTTCTCTTGCAACGTGTGCAACGGAGGTTTTAAGCACGAGGGAGGAGGAGGAAGGAGAGGGGAGGGGAATCGGACCTCGTAGACATAAACAGAATTCGCGAACGGTGACTCGACGCGACCGGCTTATTTTCGATAATGACGAAAATATCGCCCGTTCTCGATACCAAAAGCGTTCGCCTTTCCCGCTTTTTTTCCTCCTTTTCTTTTTCCTTTTCCTTTCGTCTCCGCTCTTCGTTCCGAGGAGAGAGAGAGAGAGAGATTAAACGACGATGGCTCGTTATTAAATTTTCGATAGAGATCATTCCCGAGTGCGATTCTGTGCCAAACGTATTTATGAAAATTTGCCTCTACGTTTAGTCGGGAAAGAGCGAGAAATAATTTAATTCGCTTGTTCGAAAACAACGTTCGTGGCAACGGTACGTCATTTTTCAATACCCCCAAATCCCGGCCCAAAATCTTCCCACGCGGTTGGCAAAATCCCAGTTATTGCCACATTTCGAGTGTTAAACTTTATTAGGAAAGGAAGTCCTCGAGGACTCTTCGAATTGGTATTTTTTTTTTTTCTAGCCGAACGGCTGTTAACTACCTGTTAAACACGAATATCGTCAAAACGTTGCGCGCGATATTATCGTATCTTCGGAGGGAACGGAATTTCTGAGGGGGGGGGGGGAAGAATAACACGAATCGTTTAACGAGCATAACAATTAAGATTCTAATCGCGCTGATCGTAAATGCGTTTCGAACAAGCTTGGAAAATTATTCGAGTTGAATCGTTCCTTCCAGGAAAATAAGATTGATACGATTAAGTTAGAATCCTCGTTAAAAGAATTTTCTCGTCGAAATTCCGTGATGATTCATTCCGTGAAACGATTCCAAATGATTCCGAAACGAGCAGGAGAGAAATTCCAACCGATGTCGTAACCGATCCTCTAAATTATTATTCACGCTTACGTGCATACGCCCGAGCCCGAGTCCGAGCGATTAGACGTCGAGGTTGGCATCAAGGAGGCGGTGGAAAAGGAACGATAAAAAACAAAATAAAAAAAGAACGGTTTTTATCGAAGTCACGGTGTAATCGGCTAACGACACGCGAAATTTATGTCGAGTCCTTCCTTGGCGCGATAATGCGATTCGTAAGCGTCGCTCGCCAACGAAATATATCTCGTATATTCAACGACGCGCCCACGTTGCACCGACTGCATCGAATCACGGAAACTCGCGCCCAGATACACGCAGCTGTTTGTCGCAGATTACGAGAGAGAACGAGCAATCCCCCCTATCTCGACCAATAACTCTTCCCCTGTCCCTAAAATTGTGCCAAATCGATATTTAAAAAAAATAATAAAAAGAATAAAAAAGCCTCGAGAAATCATTATTTCTTATTATTTCGAGATACGAGGGAATCGTATTCGTCTTCTTATCGCATCGCGTGGACAGAAAATTAAGGAATTTAGCGTTCGTTTGATCGACAAGAATCGCGCGCTATTCTCCCGTTTTCTTCCAATCTTTCTTCCCTCCAGAGGGAGGGGGAGGCGCGCGCGCGCGCGCGCGCATGGTGCGTGGACGATCGGTATTTTTATCGATCGGACGCAACGCCGCTCCCTCCTTAGAAAAATTTATTTTCGCGGTGACCAACGCGGTCCAGGAAGGAACCGAACCCGTCGACGACATCGTCTTCGTCATTGCCTTCGTCTTCGTCGTTGTCTTCGCGAGCGGGGCTCGACCCGGCTCGCGCGTTTCGCAAAGGCACCTTCTAGAAATAGAACGCCCAAATAATTTGCCTCGGATTACCAGCGACGCGTCGCGCCTCTCTCCCTCCTCCCCTCCCCTCCTCTTTTTCCTCTCTTTTCGAACGTTTTCGATCGCGTCGATTTTTAAAAACGATCGCCATCCGTTTATCCCGCTCCTCCTCTTCCGTTTCGAGAGAACAGGTTCGATTTCGTCCGATTCCTTTAAAAAATCCGTAGAAAAAAGAAGAAAAAAAATCCCAGTATGCAAAACAGACCGCTTAAAGTCCACGTATACGTGTTCACTCGATAGATAAGCGTAACCTTTAAATAGATCGGTGTGTTAAGCGACCGGTTGGGTAAATACATTGGCAATAATCGTCGATGCGAAGAAAAGGTAAACCAGGCATATATATGTGTATACATATATATATATATATATATATATATATAAAATCTTTATAAAATTCACGATGTTGCAAAATCGCGTCGCAGAGATTATTCTGCCGCGGATTCAATAAATCGCGGTAAAAGGAAACGCGATGATGAACACGGCGATTTAAACGAAAGTTAAACTTATTAAAATCGCTCGAGATTACTCGAGATTAATTCGTAAATTCGTTTTGGTTTGGGAGCCGTTTGACACCGTCAGACTCATATTTCTCTCCTTTCCGAGAAACCTCGAGGGCGGCCGGACGTCGTATTTGCGGCCTCATAAAATAAACGGAGCACGTGCTGCTTAAGAAGGCCAAGTTCGAAATGTCGATCGCGAGATAAAACTGTTTTTGAACATCGATGAAAACGGAATCCGGTTGCGCGTTTCCGATCGTTCTCTCTCTCTACGAATCCTCGAGAGAATACATCGTAATACGGACCAGAGGCCGAAAATTATATATATATATATATTCGTGGCCAACTCTTTGGTTGACAGCTGCTCGATGATTCGAAAATATTTCAAAATATTTCCATCATTCATCATCGGTTATACACGGCTATTTTTGAGAATACGATTCGCGCCTTCACGATTCTTTGCATTTTTCTTCTTTTTATTTTTTTTTTACTTCCTCTTTTTTTTTTTGGCAAACGATAACAAACAAACGATCGTTAATAAAAAAGAACGCGCACGCGGCGGGAGGACTGGAAGAAGATTCGCAACGGAGGAGGAGGAGGAGGAGGAGGAGACGCGATGTTTCGTAATTAAATGTCAAGCGATGTCGTCGATTGAAATAAAGGAAGAAAGTTGAAAAATCCGCAGGAAAGTCGCGGCGATAGCAGCCAAAAGCTTCTCGTGTTACAGCGCGCCTGGTCGCCAAAACACGGCGGCGACGGCGGTCCGCGCGTTTCGCACGTAGTTGGCAACGATTTCTACCGATGCGCGTGAAATAATTTGGCGTTTGTTAGTCTATTACGTAATCCCGCCTCACGGTTCTTTATGGAGAAAGGAAGAGAGAGAGAGAGAGAGAGAGAGAGAGACGGGAATCTGGTGTCTGAGAAACACGATTTCGAACAAATTTAAATAATTTCTCACCCCTGTTGCTAGCTAAGAGCCTCGCCATGACCGCTAAAACGTCACGGCGATCAAGGTAAGCAACGTCGAATTTTTCATTCATTCGAGCTGAATGTATATCTTTCGATGAGTTCCCTCCCCGCCTCTCCCTCCCCTCCCCCCTCTCTCTCCTTCTCCCCTTTGATAAGAATTTTTTATCGACACGAACGCAACAGGAATTATCTTTAACGCACTTGTAAATAGAAGTTTGCAGTTTGCAGTTTACTTTAACCAATAATGATTCGAAGAGTGCGAGTTTACACGCACGATGCAACGATGATGACAAATCATCGAAGCGATAAATCGTTTTATCTATTCGACGATTAGAACTTTGAGCAGGCAGAATTTTTTTTCTTTCTTTTTTTTTTTTTCGCAACAAAGAAACAGAGTCACGTTTTAAATAAAACGTACGTGACCGATTCGAATACGTATGCAATTTACCGAAGAATCAACCGATTTATCGCAATCTATATCTCGTCAGACTCGTTCTATCCAACTCTGAACAATAAACTCTTCCCGACGAAAACCGATGTCGATATCTCTCCTCTCGCGAACATTCTCAAACGTGTGTCAAACGAGGAAAAATAAAGTAAAAGAAGAAGAAGAAGAAGAAGAAATGATCGCAAAAAGGAATATTTAAATAAACGAAACGCCTTACCTTTTGCACGACGAGCGGTGTGCCGAAATCCTTCCCTCCCTGAAGACGAAAACCCCAGGGGGATCCGTCGAATCTGGATAGTTTGACGTTGATCAACTGGGCCATATCACTGATATCTTTTACAGACAGCCGGATAAAAAATAAAAAGAAAACTGAATCCTCGAATGAAACGAAGCGAATGAAACGAAGAAATAAGTTATCGATCGGTTTTATACATATATATATATATATATATGTATATATGTATATATATATATATATATACGATTCCCTCTATTTTCCTTTACTTTTCGTTTCTTTCCTTTTTTTTTTCTTCTTTCTTTTCTTAGCTACTCGTTTCGAAGATCGAAGAGACAGGATATATGCACGTTGCACCGGCCACGGTTGACGTCTGCCTTGGCGAGGCGGAATCGCGCGGTTGGGAGAACGGCACGTACGTTCCTGAAGAACGCGCAGACCGGAGTAAAGGTACAACAGACTGTGAGGACGGTCAGTCGGGCAGCGGGGCCTGCCTGGCTGCCTTCCTTCCATCCGATTCGGCTCTGCCGCGGTTCTGGCCAGGGGCGGGGATAGGGATAGAGACCCAACACGCGGGTAGGAACGAGACCGCGATCCAGAATTATCCGGGGAGGGGGTGAATGGAAAGTTCGAGGAAGAGACACGTTTCCACGGGAAAAGGAAGGAAGCATCGAGATTTATCTGTTTCGACTGTGTATCGCGGCCATTAGGTACAAGGGGCAACGATGATGCGGGAGTGGAAGGCCAGTGGAATCGATGGATTCTTTTTTCCTTCTTCTTCTTTTTCTCTCTCTCTCTCTCTCTCTCTCTTTAATCGCGTACCGTGAAAAGTTTTCTTTTCTGTCTGTCTGTCTCTCTCTTTCTCTCTCTCTCTCTCTCTGTCTCTCTCTCTCTCTTCTTTTCGAACGAAACGAAGCGTGCAAGGAAACCGCGAAATTGCAGAACCGGAAACGGGAAACGATATGGGAAGTAGGCGATGGAACGAACGATGGAATGCGCGATGGTCTCTCGCGTTGAAGGAAGAGGAAGGAATCACAAAGGAGAGGTCGATAAAGATAAGGGAATATATATATATATATATATATACATGTGTGTACGAGGCAGGATGGAAATATTGAAAAAAAAGGAAAAAGAAAGAAAGAGGGGCACGGAAGGAAATAAGGGAGAGGGGAAGGCGAGAGGTGGAAGAGGATAAAGGAGGATACGTGATCGTGGTATCAGGATGGCATTCCCGACGTTTCATTCCTTCTTTTTTCCACCACTTGCTACCTTTCTTTCTCCCGCACTGCCGATTCCTTCCTTCGCTCCACCTTCTGTCATTGCTCCCGGTGCTGCGACCATGAAGAGAAGCACCTTGCTCGCCGCACCGTCTACACCCATGCACTTCTTCTCTCCGCGATTGTAATTTATCCCCGATCGCTACTTCGAATCGAACCACTCCCCGATCGATTAACCGCTCTCCGTCTCCTTCTTCCCGCGCGCGATATCGCCGACTTTTTTGAAAACGATTTTGAAAATTGTTGTCAACAAACCACTCGATGAATTTCATCCATCCATTGTTAAGATTACGATATTTCCTCCTCCCCTTATCACGAAAATTTGATTTAACTAATTCGCTCAACGCCGATGATCACCGATGTACTTTTCACTCTCTTCGAAAATCGATCGCCAAATCCAAAACCTAAAACGATTCATAAAATGCGAAGAAATTCGCGCAAGGTTGTGCGTAAGGAGGTGAGGGATCGTCAGTTACCAGTAATCGCGATGGAACGGCCAGCGCTGAAATGTGAAATGGATTGGACCGGATGAGCCTAGATTTTCGTTCCGTCGAGAGCGGCTGCATTTTCTGCGCCGGTGGCGGTCACGAGGGCGCGAACTAGTTCGTGAATCATGCCTAGAATGCTTTACATAAATTGCTCAGGACCGACGTCACGTTCTCGGTCCCTAAGCATGAGACGACTACCGAGGAGTAGGAAAGAGAAAGAGGGAGGAGAGAGAACGCTCGTCGGCCACGGCAGAAGTGACTCAGACTCTGGGCGTACGCATGCGGGACGTGGCTCGGGGGAACAGAGTCCCAGGAAACTCCGGAAAGGTGAAAGTATGCGACTCATCCGCTCGCCCTCGTCCTCGGTTATCGAAAGGGATCTTGCGCGCGTCGACGACGAAGTCGAAACGAAGTCGACGAAACGATCGACGAAATCCCTCGATGCCTTTAGCCTCGATTCCGATAAGTCTCGTCGTTATCGTCGTCCGACCATTCGATTTGTCGGAGAAAGAAAAAAATCGTATCAGGCGTAATTTTTCTAATTTCGACGTGAGTAGAGTAGGATGGATGAATTGTTGAGTTTTACGAAAAAGAAAAAAAAAAAATCAATCCTTTTATTTAACGCTTAATTCGTATAACGTTTCTTGACATTGCTTTCTCGTGTTCGAAGACACACGTATAGACACGACACGCACACGTGATTCTAGTTGATTAGTTTTGTGGTTTTATACATTCTGGCATAGCGCACGTATTCTCATTGTTTGTTTGTTTCTTCTTTTTTTTTCAATTTTTCTCATTTATCGTCGACGAGTCGATTCTTTATCATCCGTCATCCCGTAAAAAAGAATTCTATCCTTTCCTCGCAATGTTCAGTGACTGACGCTCCGAGTACTTCTGTCGTCCGCGATACTGAACGCTGGAGATTTCTGAAACGAAAGAAATGAAGGAACGGTTTCAAAACGCTTCGAGTTTTCGTAAGAACTTAAAAAAAAAAAAAAAAGGAAAAGAAAATTCTTCGGATCCTATATATATCGAATATACTCACAACCCTCTCGATTATATCCTCCGCGGCGTTCACTTTGGCAGGCCTAGCTGGAATTCCTCTCTTCGGCTCTTTCTCCATTTTATGAATCATTTTATAGACGCTCGAGTTCATTAAGTGATCAAAGTTCGGTAGATTCGTCTTTTCGTATTTCTTAAAGTTTACTCTGCGTTCGTAAGCAAAAAGAAAAAGAGAAAAGATTGAATAAATTCGGATAAGAATTAATTTCAAACATAGATAACGCAACAGCGAAGATGAATATCGTACGTCGTTAGAGATTCATCGAACGATGAAAAAAAGAATAATAATAATAATAATAATTCTATCTCACCCCAAGGCTCTGCCTCGAATCACTTCCGCCTGGGAAGATAAAACCTCGGCAATCATTTCGTCATTGAAGAAATCATTCGGACACCTCCATCTGCGGCCAAGCGTAAGTTCGACTTGCTTAGCCTGGGGCCAGAGATCTTGCGAACGTTTCCTCCCTCGTTGCTTCACTCTCTCCTGAAAAGAGTAGTAGAGGGAAACGGGTCACTCCTACTATTTGGATTGAACGTTTTCGTTTACGAACCCAGAAAATACGTTTCGTCATTTACGAAGGAATGTATGCTTATATATATATATGTATAATTGTCGCTCAGGCATTTTAAGGAACGAACGTGACACGAATATAACTTCATCTTCGTGAAGTTTTCTTTTTTAAGGGGGGGGGAGGAGGTAGAACGGGGGTGTACAACAAATTATGTGTGTTTCGAAGTGCAAGTTTTACCAAAATTCTTTAAAAGTATTTTTAAAAGAATTATTTTTAAAAAGAACATTTAAAAGAAAGAAGGGGAATCTCGGTAATGATTTCGGTGATTACGATAGAATTCTCAAAAATACATCGATGCGATTAAGATAATGCGTACTAGGACTCTCTAGGATGCTAGAAGACACAGAACGGGAACAACAAAAATTACTTCACATTCAATTTACATTCCGTTACATTCTCTCTCAGAATACCTGCAACTCCTGAATAACTTGATCTTTTGCCGATAGATTTGGATCTGGTTCGAAACTGCCTACAATACACATATCGCTTCGTTTCTGTTATCTTTCCTTAACTTTTATCGCTTTTTTTTTTCTTTCTTAATCATCGACTCGTATCAAAGAAGAAAAAAAAAAAAAAAAAAAATCCGACCAACGATTGATATTTACCGTGAGACGGTGCCGGACTAGGCGATTTCAGAACCTTGGTCTCGTACGAGACGACGAATTTCTTCACCCTGCTTCCCTCCTCGCTCTTCACCGATAGCGTCCCTTCCAGCTCCTGCGTCTCGGTCTCTTCCTCCCCCTCATCCTCGCTAGGCTGGACGATCCTCAGATGCTCGTCCGAATAGGCAGAGTACGAGATATCCTCCGTGTACTCCGTCACGTCCTGTTCCTCCGTTTCCTCCGCCTCCTCCGCGCGTTCTTCCTCCGACTCTTTCCCCTCCTCCGAGTCTTTCGCCCGCTCTTCCGGCTCTGGAAAACGAGCGCGATGATCTACGCGGAACGGATACGGAAACGGCGGAAATTGGAGAAGAATTTGGAAAGGGAAGGAGAAGCTAGCCGATCGAATGGAGATGTTTCGTAATGGGAACGACGTCCACGCATAGATACGCACTCGGTTGACACAACGCGGTTGGCAACGCTTCAACAGCGTCATCCGTCCGTGTTGGAACGCGTAAAATTTGAAAATATGCCGGGGACGAGCGATATCGATTCAGACCTGTTCGAAAATAATATAATAATCGTTTCACCGTACCTCCTCCTCCTCCTCCTCGCCGCTCCTCCTCCTCCTCCTCCTCCTTGCCGTTAGCGTTAACGGCGGCGCCGTTTTGGACACCGCTCAACTCCATGATCTTCTGCAGTTGCTCGGACACGATTCTCAGGTGATTCTCGATCTCGCTCGGAAGTTGTTTCAACGACAACAACTGGCGTTGAACGTTCTCCAGTTGCTTCTCCAGATTGATCTCCGTCGTGACCAACTCCTTGATCCTCTCCTTATCGACCTTCGCGGCGACGTCCGCCATCTCCTTCTCGATCTCGTTCAAAACGCTCTCGCGTTCCGTCGTCCTCTCCTCCTCCCCCCCCTTGGCCCCTTCCTCGCGAACCTCCTCCTCAACCTTCTCCTCGGCGTCGTCGCACGTCTCCTCCACCGCTTGCCCGCGCTCGGCCTCGCCCTCCTCCTCCGAACGCTTCGATTCGGCCTTCGATTCTGGTCGCGATTCAGGTTCCCGATCCGATCTGTAGCCCGGCTCAGGAGTGGCCGACGGTGTCGCCTGAATTCAGACAACAGCCTGTTATTCGTTGCGTCGGGGTTGATTGAATGCTTGGTGGAATGGTGCAAGTTATTATTATTATTATTATTATTATTATTATTATTATTATTATTATTATTATTATTATTATGTCGTGCAGTTTTATATAAGTCCGGGGATCGAGATGCATACGTCTTCATCGATCGGTGAAAAGGGCACGAAACGCCCTTTCTGTTTGTGCCACTTCTGTTTTATCGGTTAAGTAAGTTAACTTTTGTTTATTACTATTTCAACGAATCATCTGGACTCGTAAAGGGATATTTTTTTTTTTTTTTTGTTTCTTTTCGGGTGAAATCCAAATCGAGCGAAACGCGAGCGTCCCAATTGCTACGTTTCGACGTTTCTTCGTTTCTTCGACGGGGTTATCGAGAATATTTTAGAATTCGGGTGCAACCAAGATATGCGCATTTTTTTTATTTCTGAACAAATGTAATTATTTCCTCTCGACAATCCATCGTGTGGGTACATTGACAATGAGGTGATTATATACGTACTACGTTGATGTTGATGTGATGACATGCATCGATCTGTCTGCCTGCGTGCGCGATAACGCGAGATTTTTTTTTTTTTTTTCTTCAATCGTATTTATATGTATATGTATGTACTCTACATTAGACTAGATACCAATAAATCGACGTGCGATCGTTTCTTTTTTTTTTCTTTTTTTTTTTTTTTTATTTAAGTATACTACGTGTACTACGTTATAGTATAGTAGGTAGTAAGTATACTTGCAGGACCGTGCAATTTTTTATAATATATATATATATATTGAAACGAATCATCGAGAAAAAAAGATGATAAAAATGTGTTACAGATTTGATTAATAAATTTTTTAGTCGATGGACAAGAAAAAAGAAACGATGGTTCGTTTTGTTTTTTTGGCACGTTCCTTAACAGACAAGTACAATTGCTGCTAGCCTCTAGTCACGAGAAACGGGTTACGGTTACATTGGACAGAAGATACAACACACACTTTTAACGAGCGACCAACACTTTTTCGTTTCTTTTTTTTTTTTCTCTCATATACGTTTACAGATGATCCACGTGATGATCTAGCGTCTGTTAGGGATGTCCTAGAACAAGTGGTGTCGTTTTAAATCTAAACATAATCGTAATCATTAATGATACCGGTGTCTCGATGCGATGAATTATTATTTAGATGTTTCGTATATATGATATTACTTGTACATATATAGCAATATGACGGAGGTACAAGGTACGAACGCGTACGCCACTAATCTCGTGAAATCCACCCCTATGCAATTTGTCAAGCTTTCGTAGAGGATGGTTGGGACAAAGGATAGCCTACGTCCGTCACGATCCTTGTCCTCAACGATTTCCTTCTTGTCGTTCGCGATCGTCTCCCTCCCTTCCCCCAAATGTTCGTCAGGAAACGATCGATCGATTCGAAGGAACGTCGTTCGAAAACCGTCCAAGAGATTGAGAGAAGAGACGCGGTTCGAGGCTCCGGATCTCGATCTCGATCTCGACGATCGTCTGCTTCCACGATGAAAAATCTCGGCCGAGATATAATCTTTGGACGAACGGACGAGATTGGAAAGGGCACCGCCTTCCCTCGCGGACGAAAGAGACGTGTCGTTGGTTTGGCGCGAGTTCAAGGATGAGAAGACTGGAATAACAGCGGAAGAATCAGCGGATACGCGTTGGAGAAGTTGGCACGATCGAAGGTGGCTCGCGATCGACTCGAACTGCTTTTTCACGATACGTTCGACGTAACGAGCTCGAGAGATAAGTTTGTTTCTCGAGGTTGGACGAGTGGAGGAACGATCGAACAACGCGTTTTCCGCCCCAACATACCAAACCCCTTTCCTTTCTTCGATCGTCGACGAGTTTCTTCCTCGAATCTCCCCGCTACGAAGATTCCGCTTCAGGGACAACGCCGTGTCGCGGATACGGTTCAACCAAGGAACAGCATCGCGCCGAAACATACGTTCAACGTAACGACCCTTGAAGTACGGAATACGTTCACGCGATCTTTCGTCGAAATATCGTCGATCGGAAGACGAATAGGGGCGAGCCACCACGAATTCTGTACAACGAACGAGAATCTCCTTCTCCCGATCAGTTTTCCTCGACGAGATTTCTTCCCTCGACAATGCGTTATCGCGAGATTTAGTAAGGAAGCAGCCCCTCGCTTCAGACCTCCTCCTCGCGAACATCCATCCGTCGACCATTCGCCTCGTCCAATCATCCTCTCGCTTCAAGTACGTCTCGAGGTAACGACCTTTGATCCTCCTCGATTTCGAACATTTCTCCACGCTACAGCGACTCGTCGCGACTCGTTGAATCCCGTCCGTGCTCCGATCCCTCCATACCTCGATACCTCGTCCACCCCCCGACCAACTTTCACCCCCCTTTACTCGAACGTTACTCCACTTGGCGAACGACAAACATCTTGGAAAGTGAACACTCGTGCGAGAACCTCTCCTCCACTCTTTCCGCCTCCTCCCCTCGCCACGCGTCGAAGCTACCCTCTCACGGTAGCCCCTCGTCGGCCAACGCGACGTTGCGACTCCGCCCGTTTCCATATCGTTCGCACGACGAGTCTCACCCTCGAACAGGGAAGAATGATCGTGGCGGCTCTCGAGGATCGAGGAATCCTCCTCCTCCTCCTCCTCCTCCTCCTCCTCCTCCTCCTTCTCCTCGACTTTTTTTCCGACCCCCTCCGTCTTATTTTCCGTGTTTACCTCGGGAGTGAAGGGCTCCGGGGTGCTTGCGCCCTCCGGTCTCAGCAAGCCCCTCTCTAGCAGCCGGTCGGTCACGCTTCTCCTTTTCTGCTTCTTTATCACAACTTTGTACGACTCCGCCTCTTTCTCTTGCTCCCCCTCCTCCTGCTTCTTGCGGGGTGTCGGTATCGGCCGCTGCGGTTTCTGAAGGAACACCGAGGTACGTCTCAACTGTTCGACCAACGGTGGCTCGGCTGTGGCTATGTTCTGAAGCTCTTCTATGACCTTCGATTGCTTCAGAACCGTGACGCGTGGCCTCAGTTTCTTAAAGTTCACCCTGGAATTCAGAGATGGGCGGGAAATCTTTCTCCTTCCCTTTTTTAAAAATTTCTTGCGAATTTATTGTATTTATTGTTATCGTGGTTTTTTTCAGGAAGAGTTGGAAGGGAGGGGGGGATGAATTTTATACCCCAAAACGCCTTTATCGTCCAAAAGTTCCTCTTCCTCGAGGATCAATTGCGCGATCTCGTCGTCCGTGAGATTTTGATTCGGCACGATCTCGCTGTTGGCGTCTTTCGGCTTGTCCGGGAGGGGTTCCACCTCTTGCTTCGATCCCTCTTCCTCCTCGCACGTCTTTATCTCATACTCGTGACGTTCGATCACGGTCTCCTCCTTCAAGATTTGCTCCGGGAAAACTGGTGGCAAATCTGCGAGCTGATAACGAACAAATTTTCCACCGATCGAACGATCAAAAATCGTCAATAATACATACATACATACATACATACATACATACATACATACATACATACATACATACATACATACATACATACATACATACATATATATATATATATATATATATATATATATAATGAAATTCACACATGCAATATTTTAACGTGAGATACGTACAGGGATCTTATAAGGGACGATGTTCTCCTCGGACAGCGCCTCGGCAGCCTTGACGAAATCTTCTTGTCTGTGCCAACAGAGAAGTGGTTGGTTGATTAATTTCGAATTGGAATTTTTTTTTTTTTTTTCCTTTTCTTTTCTTTCCTTTCGATCGATCGATCGATCGAACGATCGAACGATCTGTCACGCGTATTCGTATATGCACTCGAGTTCGTAGCACGAGCGAGTAGTAGCGAGCTAGCCCAAGTGAACGGAATTGGAACGGAGGTTGGAATGAAGTTAACTACTTTTCGAAGCTTACTTGCAAGCCGGTTCACACGCGAAAGGGTAATGAGAGGGATTGTGGAACAAATGTGTGCGATGTAAAATGCCAGCAATAAAATCGCCGACCAATGATAAACAGATCTGATTCTGGGTCACCTATTTATAAGTGTTGCAATATGTTACCACACGTTCGCCGGGATATTCTTGCCTCTCTCGTTTCGTGTTATAATATTTATATATCGTATAAGTATATGAGAAGACGTTTTCCATGATGTTTGCAAGCGATTCTTCCAATTTTTTTTTTTTCTTTCTTTTTTTTTTTTTTTTTAATCTCGAGTCGAATATATCGCACGTCGTTTCATCCGATTGATTATTGCTATTGAATGGGAAATATGATATAATATGCAAGTGTGGTGTGGAAGAAAATCGTTGGTCGATAGAGTCGAAGGTTTGTCAAGGGTATTCGAAATAAAATTCGTCGCGGTGAAAAAAGTAGTTCAAGTTAAGCTCGACCTCGAAGCGGGTCAATTCGGTGCAACGATGCAGCGGCGCGCAGTGTCGTTGACATTGATATCGAATTGTTTTCAATGGCTGGGTTGCGGATCTACTTCCGATAAGATAAGGATGTATGTACGAGTAACGCGAGTATTTATTTTTAAAGGTGATGTTGGATTTTTATATTATTAATTGATTAATGATTCAGGTAGCGCACCAAGCTTACCTCAGCACACCAAGAACAAAATTATTTCCTGCTCGCATTAATTCTTCGTGCGCCTGTCCGTGGGTTAAAGAGCTAATGGGTTGATCGTTTAATCTTACCACCACGTCGCCGACTTTTAAACCCATACATTCCGCCAAACTTCCCTCTGTGACCTAAGAAATGTTTTTTCACGTTTCAATTTTCATTTTTACTCGATGAAACTTACGTATTGTAATTAAAACTATGGACGACGAGATAGGCGAGGGAGGGGCTGGAGGGGAAGGAGATAGGTTTAAACGGTTTAACGGGACTTTGATCATGTTTCTTGAAATTATGGAATAAGAATTTCATAATCGACGAATAAATCAAGAATGTTTGGAAAAATAACTTTTTTATTTTTTATACATACTACCATAAATATTCGCACGTATTGTGTTGGATCGTATTCATAAATCTTTTGATCTCGGGAGTAAGAGATAATAAAGTCAATCGGTCGATCGAATATTGGAGCGGATCTCTTATAAATTTTATACAGCAAGTATAAACAAAGAGAGCAAATAGTAGAAGAAGGTACAAAGATTAAAAATTAAAAATGAGAATATCAGCGCCATCTCGATGATATCGTGGATGAAACAAATGTAGACAAAGAAAGCGAATAATAGGAAAGGGATAGAGAGAGCGTAAAAATATTGAAATCAGCGCCATCTCCAGAGTGCCGCAAATGAAACTCATAAAGAAAGGATAACAAATAGAGAAAAAAAGGATAGAGATATGGTAAGAATTGACTAACAACGCCATCTCTTGAATATTATAAATACTTCTTCAAAAGCACGTTCAAAGGTAAGTTAGAGTTAGAATTAAGATTCAGCGCCATCTCTTGAGTATTTTTGAAAACACGTCCTTTTCACAATTCAAAAGATGGCGTTAGTTCTCAATTCTTACTCTATTTTATCCTGCCATTTAGAGGTATCTTTAATAATTAAAAGAGGCGTTGATAATTAATTCTTACAGTATCTCTATCTTTCTTTCACTATTTCCTATCCTTTTTTTATATGTTTCATTTATGACACTCTAAAGATCGATTTCAATTATTTTTACTTTATTTCTGTCCTTCTCTTATTATTTCTCTCCTTGTCTATACATTGTTCTTGGTACGTGATCACATATACGAGGTATAGGATATCAATTAAATATTTTCATCATTTCTCTTTCAAAATTACAACGTGTTTCAATCTTTAATGTAAAAAAATATAAATGTTATATTCTCAACTTTATTACTTACAATATATCTATAACACGATAAACTTTCAAAATATATCGCACGCTTGCTAGACAAGTGATGTAATTCAAAATTTAATACTTTAATATTGAATTATTGCTACGGAAAAAATTATAATTATTTATATTTTTTATTAACAGAATCCTGTAAATAACAGTTTCAAACTTGATGAATATGCAACTTAGTATTTTAATAATACGATATCCTTATATATTTTATATTCTTATAAGTCAAATCATTCAAAGTCGTTTCCTCTAAAATTATAATTTTTAAATTGTACGATTTTTCTAGCAAATATGCAATATGTTATGAAGCATACTAGCATACTAGAGATTTAATCAAATAATTATTTATAATTTAATATTTAATTTCAATTCCAATCTATTCTATATAATTCGTTTATATTTAAGTAGATCATTCACCATTTTAATAAATCGGTAATACAGAAATTGCTATGATTAATCATATCGACATATTTGAAAGTACTAGCCTGTAGATATGCAATCCTTTATACTTTTCGCGCTAAATGGTTACTATGTAATCTCATAATTTCACATATACATGTATACTCTATATAATATATTTCTTAATAATTTGTAAATAATAATCTAAACTGCATTTTTAAATAATCTGTGTCTGTACATTATTATAGTATTATTATAGTATTATTATAGTAATATATTTAAATAATAAAAAACATGAAATAATAATAATGTAATGTACATACTCTGATGACAGTCAATGGTTGTGGAAAATCGCTTCCACCCGCCAATCGAAATCCCCATGGTGTGTTATCGAATTTTGTGAATTTTATGCTGATAGCCATACTGTTCTACATCTGAAATTCACGTGTCTGTAGTCATTTTAGACTGGAACAGCTTGTAAAAGTGATACTTCCTTCATTAACTTCGATGAAATTAATTCCGAAAGTGATTTCTAATGAAACAATTATATAATAAAATAAAACAAATAAAAATATATAATAAAACGAGAAAAAAAATGAAAATTTTATTTGAATTTGAATTTTGTGAAATTATTTCACGATTGAATGTAAACCTATATTTGCATTCGAGTTTTAAAAAATCTCGATAAAAAAATTCAATCATCAATTTTCTTCAATCATTATTTGTGAATTAAAAAAAAAAAAATTACTTAAATTTATCAGTTCTAATATATTTCTTTTTAAAATTATTAATCAAAGAAAAGAATCATTTATATGAACACGACAAAATATAACACATATAAGTTTTTCTAAATTTTACTCTCGTTACATAATGCTGATTTTAAAAAGACACAAAACAAAAGATATTCGATATTCTTAACATTTATAATATTCTTTATATATTTTATATTGATTTTTGGACATCCATAGTAATTCAAATTAAATGTTTGCTTTTTGACGATTGAAAAAATAAGTAAAACTAAAAACTTCGGAACGCAATAACAACCGAAAGGAATTCGTACCATGTACGCGGAAGTGATCGCATAGCGAAACGAATATAGTCTAGTCGATGCGAGAATTTACTCAATGATTCGTGAGTTACTTGCCAGTATGTTGCGCGAAGAATAATCACAGAATTGTTATATCACGATGCACAGGAAATTGCACACCGAGAAAAATTATATCACTGAATTCATGGATCAGAAGCGCGCGGTCATCAACCGAACCGGTCGATACCGTGGTAGCACCGATCGACGAACTCCACTAACTCTTCAACACGCACAAAACGGTGTCACGATAATGTTTGCCAGAAGGCAATCGTAGCTACCGACTTGAACGCCACAAATACACGGCCTCTTCTCCCCTCATCCTCTCGTCCCCTGCTCCCCTCATTATCCAATCGTAAAACAGTAGGAAGAATGCTAGATCTATTTACTGATCGATTTATTTAGATTCAGGTCCTCGATTTCCTCGTCATCACATATGAAGTATTTCGCTCTCATCGTTACTCTTTCGTAAAGTAACAATATCTACATTTTTTCTCTGCGACAAAGAATAACTTTTTTATCGTAATTTCGCGCTAAAATCACATAAATTGATTTAAAAATCGTATACGCTTCTGCCATCTAGGGACACACTAATATTTAAATTCAATTCTTTGAATCGAAAAGCGCGCGAAACTTTATGCGAAAGAAAAAAAGAAAAATTAAAGAAAAATTTATAAATATTATAATATATGTTCTGTGATATGTGATATAATTTGTGTTTATGTTTAAAATATGTTATATGCAAATACAACAATACACATAATTTATAGTGAATACGTGTATTAAATATGTATTAAATTTTGATTTATTTTAAATAATTTACTTTGTACATTATCAAAATCTGATAAAAATATGAATATGTACAAAATATTTTTAGAATGTAAATTTTATTCTCATTGACGTAGTCTTACTTGATCGTTCGAAGTCTATCTTTTGACTGAAAGTCGAAATGTGGAAGTAAGGCATAGATACGTCCCTACCACTATATGTTTATATATATCTGATATAGTATATATATGCTTAGAGTCAATTCGCGCACTTAAGCAATTTCTATTTTACATTAGTCATATTGTTTTACATAAGAATAATATTCATTAAATTTGATGTGTATGCATTTTTATAATTTTGCAGCGATGATACTGTGCAATTCGTTATTTTTTGTTTGATATTTTCAATAACATTTGTATTACAAACATAAATTTGAATCGTTTATCATTAAAACATTATATATTACACATATCACATTATATATTAAGTATATATATTTTAAAAATGGAAATATAATTTAATTTGCTTATTAAATTATTTGATTTTATAGTTATAATTTATTTTATTTATTAATACAATACAATAATATTCCTGTAATATATCCACAAGAATAAGTTGCAACTTTGTCGATAATAGAGAACATTGTATGTATATTATGTATGTATACTATATAATAAAGAATAATACATAATTTAATTAATATAATAAAATATTAAAATATTAAAATAATAAATTATTGTATAATAATGATAATGATAAATTTTTTGCAATTAAATTAAATAAAATATTTTTATTTACATAGTATTACATTTTTTTAAATTGCGATCAATTATAAATATTAATCAGAACATGAATATGAGGTTTTTATTATATTCATATACTTTTTTTTAAACGAAAAATTTTTTTACAAAAAGATTATTGATGAATAATATAAAAATTTTTACAAAATATTTATATTTTTTAAGTTTTTTGCTTCTTTGCACTTGATGCTCCATCCTGCTCATCCGTTTGGAATATCGTTTGTGGTTGTGTTTTTTTATATGCTGGCGCAATCCAGTATGGATTTTCTTCTGCTACTTTTGCATATTTTAATATGGCTTCTCGTGGATCTTGATCGTCTTCTATTCTTTTACTAAGTCCCAAATTCCGAATTACATAAGAACTAAGTGTTCCACCAGAAGAAGCAACTCTTCCACCTTGTCCAGAAGTAATTGGTAAATCCGGTCTTCTCGATTTAACGGGATCTAAACGATCTTTTTCCATTTGTTTACGAACTGATTTAGGTCTGTCTTGTCTGAATAATGGAAGTGCATGTGGTGTAATAATTTGTTGAGTTGACATTACTTCGATATGTTTTTGTTTTAAATGCGTTTTTATAATACATAATTTTGCACCTCTTAAACTTTTCTTAGAATCGTAATATACCTTAACTATTCCATTTCCACAACCAACAAATATTTGATTTAGTTTTGGATGCCATAATGTTTTAATAACATGTGAATTTGTTACATTTATTCCATTAATTAGATCAAAAGTTTTTGTATCATAAAATAAAATTCTACCAGTATTTTGATTTTTACTTAAAGATTCCCCTGTAATAAGAATTGAATCATCTGGATTAAACATACAATCGGTTGTATCATATCTAGAATATAAATTTTTTGCTTCAAAAATAGGTGTTTTAAATGCTCTTAAATCCCAAAGCTTTAAAGTATCATCACAACTTCTGGTTGCAAGCATTTGTCCAAGATAAGAGAAGCTTAAGCTTGATATCTCAGCACCTTGTGCATGTGCATTTCTCTGAATCAGTGATGGATTAACAAAATTTTTTCTATGATCCCACATTTGTATAGAACCATCTATACAACCACAAGCAACTACATTACCTTCTCTACTATAACCACATGTGGTTGGTATGGTTTTAACACCATTTTGTGCTCTACATTTTATTAGATGTTTATGTGCACGCGGTCTATATAAAATCCATATTCTACAAGTACTATCTTGTGAACAAGTAAGATATTCCTCCTTTGTGAATGGATGCCAACAACCACTGTTTAATCCTGCTGTATGACCTTTTGTACGTGCCATATCTGTTATATATTGATCACCCTTCACAGTTTCACATTTTTCAAAACCATCTCTATCTAAAACTTTCGCTTGTGCAGAACCTGATATAACTAATATAACATCACCAGTCATTGAGTATTGTAAACATTTGATTGGATGGTTCTCACAAGGTTGCAATGTTCTAAAACTTCTCATTGATGAATCCATGCCAGCAAAGTCCCAAAAACAAACATCATAATCAATAGAACCTGAAGCTAATCTTGCTCCAGAAGGATCTGCTGCAATAGCTGTTACTGCCTTCATTCCATGAGTCATTGTAACTTCATGACTGCATGGAATTTTATCTTTTAATTGTAATTCTTCTTCTACATCAGATTGTTCTTCATCTTCATCACTTTCATTGTCATTTTGATCTTTTATTTTCATAGATTGCTCTAAATTAATTGAATTCTGAAGTTCTGGAGGTATTGGAGGTCCAATAAAATCATCATCTTCCTCATTATCATTAGTACTTTCATTATTAATAATATTAATATCTTTAGATATTTCTTTTACAAGTGTAGTTTTAGATTCTTTTTCAATAGATTTTATATTTACATTACTTACTTTGCTATTATTAATAGTTTTTGTAATATTTTCCAACATTTCTTCTACATCAAAAGATTTAGCCTTCTTACCAAAACCTGTTATGCCCATAACTTGTTTCAAATTTTGAGACTCTTCTTCATCTTCAGGTTTAATTTCATTCATTTTTGTTATATTAGTCTCCAATGATTTTTTGCCAAATGTACCAAATCCAGAACTTACAGTTTCTGTATTTTTCGTCATATCTCGAGTTAAATCTTTATTAATTTTACCAAAAGTTATTCCCTTTTTTGTATTCATGATTATTATAACTTGTTATTAAATAAATTGTAGTAATATTTATAAAACATATACAAATAAAATTAAAAATTTTTATTTATTTATTCTTAATATAATATAATTTTGATATTTTTTTAAGATTTAATTTCTTATAATGGCTTATAAAAAATTAAATAAATATATATTGAGGTTATAATATTTCATTTTCTTTTTTTTTTCTATTATTCATATATAATGGATTAATTACATATTTTTGCATTAAAAAACGCAAATCTATTTTATTAATAAATAATTTTTTTTTTAATATAAATGGAAATTCACAATATTATTTATCACTTTATCTGGTAAATATTGCGTACTATAGCAAAATTGTCAGATACCGAGACAAAATGGCTATCAGAGCCATTAGAAACATTTAGTAAGTTAAAATTTTTTATTTTAACTTATTGTGTATTGACGTTTGTATTGACAGATGTCATTGACGTGAATAATTAGTAAATTTATCATAAAAACCTAATTTACATCTATCTAATAATTGTTGTAATTGATGTACCTAAATAATAATGAATCAAAACATAATATATAATATTATATCAATGTGAGTTAAATATACTTTGATTAAATTTTAAATTATAATTATATTATGTTTTAAATGTTTTTTTAAAAAGTGTTTTTAAAAAGTTATAAACATCAATTATTTGATGTTTATAAATTTATATGGAATAAATATATTAAATAATATATCAAATATAACGTAAAAAAAACTAAATACATAGTTTATAATTAATAAGTTATGATTTTTAAAATATATTTTTTATAATATTTATAATTCTTGTACTTATAAAATTTTATCCATTAATAATTATGATAAACGAAAATATTATTTTCATTTAAAAAAATTTAAATATTTAGGAGAATCGAAATAAAAAAATTAATGAATTTCAAAAATTCGATTATAAATTAATGTAGCATTTAATTTAATAACATAATTTAGGAAATAACATAGGAATTAACAGAAGAAGTAAATGAAAATATAATATATAATTGACTACAATATCTATAAAAAATGATAGATACAAAAAATAATGCAAATGGAACACATGATTGTAATCAAGATTCAAGGATTAGAACTGACAGTTCCGATACAATGCCATCGACACCTTCTTCATCATCTGATTATATGACAGGAGAAGCAGATGATAGTTCAGATAGCAAAGCTGTTATACCTTTTAGTTTAAAATCAGTAGAAACAGTGCTTTCATTATCTAAGGTATAAAATAAATTTAAGAATTTTTATAATAATTTTTTATTCTTTATGATTATGATTATATTATATTTTATAGGCTACTTCTGAAGAATATCTTAAAGATATGATAGATAAATGTAAACAAATGGTATTAGAAAGTGCAGAATGTTCAGATGAACGAAAATGGCTTGTTAGACGTTTAATTGAATTACGTTTAAGAGTACAAGAATTTAGAGAATCATCAGAAGCAAATTTGCTTGAAACACAAGTAATTTTAGGACATCACTTAATACCACAAAAATATTACATAACAACTTCTGGACCTGTATATTGTGATCATTGCAGTGGAGCTATTTGGACTATGCTTCAATCATGGTATATGTGCAATGGTAAGATTTTCTTTAAAATTATAAATTATTTTTATATGAATTTTTATTATATTTAATTTTATTTTCACAGATTGCAAATTTTGTTGCCATTGGAAATGTTTAAATAACATATGTAGAGTATGTGTTCATGTAGTTGCTAGTGAAGCAGGTGGTTATACTTATACAAAAGATATTTGTCCTGAACAGGGTTTATCAAATCAAGGATATAGATGTGCTGAATGCAAAGCACGAATTACATTTAGTAAGTATATTCATTAATAAATATTGATTAATGCAGATAAGATTAAAATTAAAAATTAAAATAATTCTTTGAAGAAGTATAATTTATCACTCTATATAAGATATAAAAATAAAATATTTAACATTGTTACAATGTAGATAAATTATATTTTTATTACAAGCTTTCTCAAAAGGATTATCCTTATCTTGTTTTGGCAGTCCATTTAAAAATACAGGTAACACATATAAAGGAAATTTCGAAAATGTGGGTTACAAATCAAAAATTTATTTTATATATTAATATTTCTTTTAATATATTATTTATAAATGTAGAATCAACATGGATTGAGCCACGACTTTGTGACTATACAGGATTGTATTATTGTCAAAGATGTCATTGGAATACTGCAATGGTAATTCCTGCAAGAGTAATTAGAAATTGGGATATGGAATCACGACCTGTATCTCGTGTTGCTGCACAACTATTAACACTTTTAGAAGAACGTTCTGTTTTATTACTTGAAGACTTAAATCCAAAATTGTTTACTTTAGTTCCAGATCTATCTGTAGTAAAGGTAAAATAAATTATAACTTCGTATTTATAAATTAATTATTTTTATATAATTCAAAGTAAATAATAAATAGAGGATGCGGGAGGAAATGCAAATGATGAAACGTTATTTAGTTTTGTGCCCGGAAGCTAATAATCAAGGATTACCATGGAAAATTGGAATACGTACTCATATGATAGAAAATTCGGGAAATTATTCAATTAAAGATCTCATTGATTTGAATAATGGAATACTTTTAGAAGAAATTCGTGCTGCATATGATACTATGCATACTCATATCACAGAGCAATGTGAATTATGTAAAGCAAGGTAAATTTTGACGAATGGATATTTTATTCAAATCGTTTTACAATTAAAATTTTAAATATTAATTTATAGAGGTCATTTATGTGAATTGTGCGGTAATGATGAAGTTATATATCCATGGGATGCAAATTCTATTAGTTGTCATCAATGTACAGCAGTTCATCATCGTGCATGTTGGTCGAAACAAAATCACTATTGTCCACGTTGTACGAGACTTCAGAAACGGCGTGCCTTGCAAGAACAACAAACTTCAGATACAGATGAATGTATTACTGAAAATGGATTAAACTCAAGTGAATCACTAAGTGATACAACATAAATGCATATATTATAATTTGTACATATATCTGTCTTTGTGCAATTCTTTTATAAATTGAAATTAAAAAATATTCTAATTTNAATAATATAAAATAAATATTTAAATAATTGTTTTTTTATAGCAGATTTATTAATAATAACTGAGATAAATTAACAAAAAATTCAAATAACATTATTTTATATATTTTTATATATTATATATTTTATTTATTGCAATTATTATTTTATTTGTTTATTGCAAAATATTTTTGATATGATATTCGCTATTATTAAATTTTAAATATTAAAAATTGATAAAAAATGTTAATTGATAAATGTTAATAGATGAAAAATATAATTATAATTTTATTTTATTAGAATTTGATAATAATTAAATAATTAATATTTAATTAATATTTAATATTTAATAATTATATAATAATTAATATTATATAATTTGATAATAATTTAATAATTCAGATTTTTTAAACATTAATAAAATAAGCAATAGAATGTAAAAATAAATTGTTATTAATTATTTAGATATTAATAAAAAAATATTAATATTAAATATTGAAACTAATATTGAATAAAAAAAGCTAAAATTAAAATGAAATACATAATATAAATCATGAAATATTTTATTATTAATATTTTATATATTATTATCAATATATAATACGACTATTCAGTTGGGTGATTAGATCTGATATTATTAATATTTATAACTTACTGATATAATTATAGTACTTATTGATATAAGATATTTAAATATTTTCTTTTTACTTTTTTAGGCAAGCAACCAATATGAAATTATAGATATTAGAATTTTATTCTACTTCAAAATTGAAACATTCTTATTCATCTATCAATTTAATGATACTCCTCTGTTAATAACGTGAGGTATCCTTTTAGGTACCATACTGAAAAATAAATTAAACAATTATAAGTTTTTCAATAAATATATAATATTAATATATTAATAATATATATATATATATATATATATATATATATATGTGAACATATAAATAACTTACGTAATACAATCAATAATTGGACATACTGAAAGACAAAGAGTACAACCTGTACAATCGTCTGTTACTGTTGGAATGTGAGTTTCAGAGTCAAATTTAATTGCTTGATAACCAGAATCGGCACAAGCTATGTAACATTTTCCACAATTTATACACATATCCTAGTACATAAAATTATTTATTCTTAATACATAATATATAATAATATATATTATATAAATAAAGATAAATAAAAATTAAAATAAATAAAAGCTGATTAAAACTTACATCATCTATCAATGCTATTACTTGTTCTTTGTTATTCAAATCTTTATATGTACCAATATAATTTAAAGCTTTGCCAATAACATCTTTTATTCTTGGTATAGCTGTAATAGGTTCTGGACTAGGTCTAGTAATCTTGACGAGTTTATCGAGCGGATTCGAGATAGCCTTAATTTCAGCTATTTTTGCTTCCCGTAGTTTTTGATATTCTCCAAAATATGGTATATTCTGAAACATAAAACATTTAATAAGTATAACATTTGTTATTAAATTATTAATTTTAACAAAAGTTTGCACTTACTTTGCCAAGAGCATGTTGTAAAACAATAGGTTTTCCTTTCTGATGTTTAAATGTTGGTGGGCTTTGTCCATCCCAATTTTTTAATTGTTTTAAATTCTTCAAATATAATAACGCTTTTAAACCTGTTATATAATCATCAATTAGAGTAAAATCCTGATTTTGTACAGCACTGCAAACCTATTAATCGTTTAAAAATCATCCGAAATATAATATTGTGTATAAAAAAATTTATAAGAAATTAAAATGATTGATTAGCTTACCTGTAAAACTGATGCACCACAATGTAAAAATTGAAGAGCAACATCTGCTGATTCAATACCACCAATTCCAAGTATAGGAAATCCAGGAAGAGCTTTAGAAATGGCAGAAACAGCCCTTAAAGCTTGAGGTCTGGTTGCATTACCTGACATACCCCCATATGTTGTAACTTTTTTAATTCCAACAGCTGGCCATGGAGTTGCGTCCGCGTGCAATCCCATTAAACTTTGAACAGTATTTATGGCAGA